AAGGAAGAAATACATATAATTTACATGGAAAAATTCACACCACTGCTCTTTAGACTGGGAACAGTTGCCCAGCAGCGGGAGAAAACCTCAGAATTACCACTGCGTCAGGCCCATGGGTTGATTTTCAGCTGCCTGCCTATGTATGTGCCCTGGGCCATCCCCATCTCAGTGTTTGTGCTGGGGTGATTCAGCACACCTGTGGCTCCGGGAATGCCCTGTGGGAAAGAGGAAGTATAACTGGGTTACAGGAGAGCGTGACCAGTGTATTAGGTGCTGGCGTGTGTGGATTGGTACAGAGGAGGGAAGGATCCCAGGTGACATCAAAGCAGGTTTTTGTTTTGGTTTGGTGTTTTGAGTCGGGGTCTCACTCTGTGGCCCTGGCTGGAGTGCAGTGGCAGGATCATGGCTCACGGCGGCTTCGAATTCCACGACTCGGGCAAGGCTCCTGCCTCAGCTTCCTGAGTAGCTGGGACTACAGGCGTGTGCCACCACACCAGGCCCGGCTCATTTTTTAATTTTTTGTGGAGATAGAGGTCTTGCTGTGTTGCCCAGGCTGGTCTCAAACTCTTGGGCTCAAGCGATCCTCCTGCCTCGGCCTCCCAAAGTGCTACGATTATAGGTGTGAGTCACTGCGCCCGGCTTGGAGCTAACTGTGAGGGAGGAGTAGGGATTAGCCAGGTGGACAGATGTTGGTGGAAAGGGCATGTCTCGTGAAGGGAACAGCCTGGGGAAATGTATGGTGGCATCGATAGCATGCTGTGTTCAGAAAGCAGACAAGGAAATTGAGGTGGACTCAGATGGCCGGAGACCAGCGGGGGATGCCGGGGTCCACATAACCCCTGCCTGGGGTTCCCACGGTGCTCAGCCCTGTGCTGGGTGTGGCTGGGGGTCACAGAGCCGGGTCAGGCCTTGGCCCTGTCCTGAGGGGCCCCCCAGTGAGGCCCGGCCTCTGATTTGGCAAGGGAGGCAGGAGTGGGCCTAGGGTGATCGTGAGGAGGCCATGATGCGGCTGAGCCTTCAAGAGTCTTGTGCTGTCCTCTGCCCATTCCTGATCTCTACCCACACTTACTGACAAGTGACAAGTGACAGCAGCCGTTAGGACAGAGCCGGGCTGGAGCTGGGGCTCTCTCCTGCAGAGGAGGCTCAGGGGTCAATAGAACTGGGTTCAAGTCTCACGTTCTTCACGTGGCTGCTGTGGGCCCTGGGGCACCTGGCCTCCCTCTGAGCCTTAATTTCCTCATCTGTCAAGAGGGCCCACGCCCCAATGCACCTGGGGCTGCAGCCACGGACCCTCCCATTCTGGGAAAAGCAGGCACATCCTTGTTCCCCCCGGGCAGCCGTGAGCACACAAAGGGCAGTCTGTGTGTCCCTGCTGCACACATGACCAGCTCAGGACACAGGAACCTGCTGACCCAGGTGGCAGCCAGACTGCAGGCAGGGTGCAACCGTGCTCCCTGGAGGGATGGAGGGTGTCTGTCCCCGCCTGCCGTCTCCATCGGCAGGTGGAGATGGTGTGCTCTGGGGTTCCCGTCAGCCACTGTCCTGTGTTCTCCCGTGTGGTGCTGCCACGCCACCACTTACACCGCTTACCCTTCTTCTCAGTTTGTGCAGCCTTTGTGATCGGCATTGCATGGGACAGCTGCAAGTCCCTTGCCCGCTCCTTCCCTGGAGAATCGGGTCCTTGGCTCAGGTAACAGACAAACCTGGGTTGGAATCCTAACTCCTGGCTACTGCCCTGACCTCCACCCCCGCACTCCCTCTGCTCCAAGCACACTGAACTCCTCACAGTTCTGCCAGTGCACCAAGCTTGCACCCACCTCAGGGCCTTTGCACGTGCTATTTCTTCTGTCCTCCCTTCTGGCTGGCTCCCTCATTGCATTCAAGCCCCCACCCAGATGTGACCTCCTCAGGCAGGCCTGCCCAGACTGCTTTGTCTACGGTGGCCCCTTCCGCTTTCTTTACCTGCCTCCGTTTCTTTATGACGCTTATCATCACCTGAACCCACATTTCTCCGTGGATCTGCATACCGTTGGTCTCCCTCACTGGAACATAAGGTCCATGAGAAAAGGCCTTTGTGCAGTGCCCAGTGCCTGGCACAGGACTGGCACACAGAAGGTGCTTAGGATCTGGGCTCGGCGGACCAGGCTGTGTAGGGGAGGGCGTGAACTCCCTTTCTCCAGGAAGCGTGAAAGCAGAGGTTGTTTGGGGCTCAAGGCTTTCTGCTGGTTGGACGGTTATGGTGGTCAGAACTGGCTCTCCGTGGTGCTGTGAGGCCCTTCCAGGGTCATGGACTCACAGAACAGGCTGGCCTGTAGTCGCTGAGGGCTGCCCACATCTGCCTCCAGAACCGGGGAGGGAGGTGGGTGGTGGTTCAGGGTTCCTGCTGCACCCTGAAAGAATCAGGGCAGGAGCAGAGGAAGGACGATGGCCTGAGAAGAGGTGAAAGACGAATCCAGGCTTGGGGAAGTTGTTCGGCCACACTAGTCTGGAGAGCAAAGGCATGGGGCCTGTGGCCTGAGGCCCGTGGCTGGGCCTCCTCTCCTTCCCTGTGTTCCGAGAGTCTGTGGTGCCTTCTGAGTGTTCATGGGAAACCTGGTGCTCAGCTCATCTGTCGGTTGGGCGAGCCACTGAGACCAGATGTCCGGTCTCCAGGAGAGGGACGAGGATGAGGCCAGAGTGGCACTTCCTTAAGTTGCACACCCTAGATGCCTCTGGCTTCCTCCTAGTCCGGCCTGATGAACTCCTTCCAAAAACAAACGACTGTGGAGCTCCAACTTGAACACCGCAAGTATCAGGCAACTCACCACTGGCTTTCCAGTTCTAGACCATGTCCCCCCAAGGGAGCTAACCTTTGTCAAGACCCGGCTGCGTGATGGCTGCTTCCCACCCTTGCTCTCCGAGAGTCCCCGTCCCTGGAGATCCTAGGGGTGTAGATCAGGGGCGGAGGCTTAGGGAGGGGGAGTGGACCGTCCTGGTGAGGCACAGCAAGTGAGGGGTGAGGAAAGGGCAGCCCATGTCCTCCTGCTTGGCTGCACCTCTGGGGGAGCCTGTGGGACTGGCGCTCCGGTTCCCACCTCCAGCCTTAACCCGGCGATCCCCTTCTGCAGGAATTGGCCAGCGGACCCTGCCCCGGGGGTGAGTAAGATAGGGTCAGGGCAGGCCTCGAGTCTCAGGAGGTGGCCGGCCCCTGCACAGGCCACCGGGCACCTCGGCCCTTCCTCCTGCGTCTTAGGCTGTGCCCTCTGCCTGAAGACCAGCCTCCGTGCCTGGGTCCCATCCCTCCTCTTGGAAGCCTCCCCTGACTCCTGCCATCCTCAGGGCCTCCGTGAGCAACTGTCTTTTCTCTCCCACCTCTTCCATGGGATGGGAGGGGGCAGAGCAGGACGATGAGAGAAATTAAAAAAACAAAACAAAAGAGGCGAGACTGTGTGGTAAGTGAAGATGAGGAAGGCGAGGGGCTGGACCGTCCATGGTGGCGCTGACGGACGCCGCAGGGCCTCAGGCAGGTATCTGCTTGTGGGTCCTGCCATATCCCCGGCTCAGAAGCTGGGGACAAGGGGGTGAAAGAACCAAACTGGGTAGGTTGGCTTTGGGGAACTCATGCCTGCGAATCAGCCCTCGGCGTGCTTTTGGGCGGAGAACTCTTCCCTGTCTCAAGTCACTCGTGAGGTCAGGGCCTTTGCCAAGAGCAGTGCCGTGTTTTTGTTTTGGAGGGGGAGGGTGTGTGTACACCCACAGGCTGAGCGGGGCGGTGACAGAGAGGACTGCTGTTGTTCTTGAGCCTCCCAAGGCCATGAGAGAAGGACCTGGGCAGGATGAGGGGACAGGGTGTGAAGGAGAAATGGCTCCTGAGAAGGGAAAGCGGTTGGGGCCACCAAAGGGACCCTGGTCCCCTAGCACCGCCTGTGGTTTGAGGCAGAGGCAGGCCTTGCTGGTGGTCTACGTGGCTACGCCGACTCTGATCGTGTCTGTGTGTGTTCGGCTTTTCCCTTTGACAGAAGAGAGACAGGCCCAGCCCCTCCCTCAAAAGTTCCCTGCCTTCACCTCCTTCTGTCTGTGTCTGGCCTCCTAGGGCCCTACCATGAATAAGCGAGTTCAGATTCAGGTGGTGACTGCTGGGGGACTGTGAGACCTTGAGCTGGAAGGACGGACTTCACTGGCCCTGCAGAGGGAGTCAGGAAAGCCAGGATGTTTAATTTGGGGTATGAGTATCCGTTCCCCACTCTGGGCCTTAGTTTCCTGGAAGTGACCGGTTTCAGGGGTGGTTTCCTGGATCCCAGACCATCAGCACCGTGGCCCCTCCCCCAGTCGGGAGTGGCCTGGTCCTGGGGCTGTCCGCGGAGGGAGGGGGTCCCTGCACCCACTGCAGCCAGCACCCTTGACCTTGATCAAGCGCTTCTTGCGTAATGTGCTGCACCCACGTTATCTCTCTTCTGCCATTGGATGTCAGGGAGATACGATCGTCCTACTTTCTGGAGGAGTAAACTTGAGGGTTAGAGCGGTCGAGGCTCGGGTAAGGATGTCAACGAGCCAGTGATTCCGAACCCAGAGCTCCGGGGTGGTGAAACGTCCTTGCCCAGGTCCTCCCTGCGCCCACTCTCGAACGGAGGTGGCGGGAGCCGGGAGGTGACCGCCAGTAACCCCGGCAGACGCTGGCGCCGAGCGGGTTAAAGACCGACGCCCGCTAGTAACCCCAGCCCGGTTCCGCGCCGCGGGGCGAAACCCGAGCCCGGGCAGC